AAAAAAGTAGTCAGTATAAATACAGCATTGCTATACAACATCTCTGTGCTCTGAAGAAATGATCTGGACTTTGTGCCTGTTTTACAGAATGTGAGATCCTCTTGATACCTATGCAGCATAAGGATAGCCTTCTCTTAAGTCTTCTTTTTGTTTTTCTTTCCTTCTTTTTATTTCCATTAAGTTTACTTGAAGCTCAGTATCTGGGAATAAGGTAGAGGGAATCAGTAGTGGGCCACCAAGACTTCTGTATCAGGATCAATGCAGAAAACTAGTTCAGCTTGCTGAGTTTTCACAGGGAATGACTACTTACTTTATTCCCCTAAAGCAGGAAGCACAGGCAACGGCTTGCTAGATATTTCTTTCTGTGGGGTTCCACTTATAGAGTCATTTTTCATGTGGCTTCTATAACATTGTTGATGAAAATGCAGTTTCTTATCATTAGTGTTGCAACGATGGGTGTGGAGCCACTGGAAAGAGTCCAGTGAAGGGCCACTAACATGATAAGGGACTGGAGTATCTCACATATGAGGAAAAGCTGAGGGAGCTGGGACTGTTTAGCCTGGAAAAGAGAAAGCTCAGGAAGGATCCTGTTAATGCATATAAATACCTGAAGGGAGAGCCAGGCTCTTTTCAGTGGTGCCCAGTGACAGGCCTAGAGGCAGTGGGCACAAACTGAAACACAGGAGGTTCCCTCTGGGCATCAGGAAACACTTTTTTACTGTGAGGGCAACTGGAGCAGTTGCTGACAAAGGTTGTGGAGCTGCTGTTCTTGGAGATACTCAAAAGCCATCTGGACATGGTGCTGGGCAGCCTGCTCTAGGTGACCCTGCTTGAGCAGGGGGTGTGGACCAGATGATGTCAGAGGCCCCTGCCAACCTCAATCATTCTGGGATTCTGTGAGCTATGAGCTGACAGTGGCACAGAGCTCATACCCGCAGCACCGAAACACTTCCATGTGCCTATGCTTTCCCTCCTGTATTCATTTTTGTGCTTTTTGTTAGAAAATCTACAATTTCCTTTTATGGCCTGATCCCAGAACCCACATCCAAAACTTCTCAAAATGAAGAGTCCTAATCTTCAATTTTTTAATTTTTTTTTTTTTAATTTCTTCACTTAATTGGGAACAAACACTCTCTGCAGGCTTTTTCTTTACAGTTCATATTTCTCTTCTGCTTAAATGAACTGTACAAAAAGCTCTGGGATTAATATGTTAATTATGTTTGCAGAACAAAAACACCCTATCACGACTTGTGATTCATGGGAGAGAATCAGCCAAATGGGGGCTATAGCAAAATTTGGCAACGCCGTTTGGATATAAGCAGGAGTGTTCATCATAGGAATAGTTCATATTTGCATATGACCTTGCTATTGCTACTGCAATATTTGTTCTACTGGGGTGTCAGCAGTTCCAGAGGATGATGGTAAATGGGAGGAATTCATCAAAGAGCCGTTAAAAAGAAAGAGATTAGAAAATGTACTTCAGACTTAGACTCAAGGAGTCTACTCTGACTCATCAAAAGCTAAGTCTGTTGCACGCTACATCAGAATTCTATCAAAATTTAATTAAGCGCTCTTCCATCTAGCCAACGAAGACATAACAATCGAATATTTTGGAAGTTGAGACTAGAAACAATCATAGTTGAAGCAAGGTTCACAATTTTAAATAGGAATTATTAACCATTAGAAAAGGGTGGTGAAATTCAGATTCAACTAAGGTTGTGGGTTTTTTTAGTTTTGAAGCAATTAGTAGTCACAGCTCTAGCACTTAGGCTATTACAGTGCACAGAATCCTTCTAAAGGAAGACCTCTTTGACCTACATCCTGCATAGTTTTTTAGGAGAAGATGATCCCTTCCCGAAAGGGCTTGTCATTCTTATGGATCCTGCAGGCAATGGGAGCGATGTCTCAAGAATGGAAGCATTGTACCATGTAGGCTCTAAAATACTGAGAGATTTGCATGTTTTTTCTTGGTTGCCTTAGGTACACTATCTGCTTCACTGAATACAGAGCTTCACTTATATGAAGGATTCTCCTTGACAATAGGAACAACACAAATTAACATATAGTGGAGGCAAGGGTATAGCCTGAAAAATAATGGACTACTTCAAGTAGTTACCTTGTGTTTGCCTGAAAACCCTGTAGCCACATACATACTATTATTTGCTAAATTGCAAAGAGATTGAGATTCAAAAGGAATGACACAATAATGGGTGAAACAAACCTTTCTGCACCAGGCATACTGTTGGATCCTGGCTTAGGTGGAGGCTTGACAGATTTGGATGGGAATGTATTGGAGCTGTATGGGGGCAAAGATAGCTGCGGCACTGGTCTTTGGGGTGCAGCTGTGGAGAGGAAGAGAAGGAAACTTAAAACTTATGTGAGACATTCTTAAATGAGGTAGAATGAAGAAACGTTGTCACGTTACTGCTGTTTAATTAGACGAACATAATGGAGTAAACTGTTCTATAAAAAGTCCTTGATATGTTAGTTACAGATTGTAAACTCATATGGTCAACTGAGAACTTAAAATTAAGTACTAAAATTAAAAATAAACTGGAACAGGCTTGAGCAACATTTACATTTTCTAACTTCTGTTTTGGATAAGCCACAATTCAGATACCTTAACTGCAGTAGAGCTGAAGATGGTACGTAACCACATGTTCTCTGTTACGTTGCTTCTAAATAGTGGATTTGAGGTTACTTTTTTGAACTTCATTCCTTTGTGAGATTTCTCTCGTATCATCATAAACAACAGCATAAAATAAAACATTTCCTTTCTGCAATGTCCTCAGACCTCAACTACTGGTAAGAGGGGAACAGATTAACTGTGCTCCACACAGCTTAAATAGCCCTATTCTTTATGGAGTCTTAAAGGCAGCGATAATTTGTAGAGACTTGGCCAAATGTTCTGCTTCTGTTATGGCGTCACTTTACCAACTTAATTTTAGGAACCAGGATTCTGAAGTAATTTATAAATACTATTATTACATAAAACAAGTTCTGCTTCTGTTTGTTAGAGTAAATAATATTACACAGAAGACTAGTACCAGCACGGTTTGACTGAATGTTTTGTTGAAAACTCAGAGGACACCAGGTTTACATGCCTAGCTGTTTGAAGCTGTGTGCAGATCACAAATCTCTAAAATGTAATGTGTTTCAAAATAAGAAATCCTGCTGTCTTGTAACTGGCTGACTGAAGGAAGTTATTAGCTATTGATTCCTGCCTGTGTTTTGCAACTTTGATATATAAATCTCTATGAGGTACTTTATAAGCATTCTATAACCTGTCAAGATACCACCTGACTTTTTGAAATGGCTCTAAAGAAACAACTTTGCGATCACTTTTTTTTTAGAACTAAGACAAAGAAAGACTTTAAGTTTTAAAAATCACTGTAGAAATACTTACTGTCGTCTTCTTCCTGGAGAGCCAAAAGAAAAGAAACATTAGCAACGTATTATAGCACAGCTCTTAGGAATATTTTACAAAACAAAAACCTGGAAGTTGGTGAATTTTGAGTATACAAGGACTCTAAATCTATATGTCACTTTCCTGTAAAATGCTGGGGTTTCTATCTTCATGCAACACCAAATAATTTTTAAAGTTCTTGTGTTAAGGTGCAGTTATTATTTACAAAGAGGCTGTGAGGTAAATGTCCCATAATGGACCTTGACACAAAGCAGTCAGAAACTCTCAGCTGATGTAAACTTTCCTCATTCCTTCAGTAAGTGTAGGCTCTCAGAGTTATCTGAAAGTGAAATCCTTAGGTCAGCTTAAGCTGAAAAAAACCCCAAAAACCCAAAACCTAATGTAAGCAAAATCACTTCTCGAATGTCATAAAAAAATTCTGGCCTTGTTATTCCTGTTATCTAAGATAAAGTACTCAGGGAATAAACTGAGCTTGACACAGAAGAACTGTTTAAAAAGAAACTACGTGCTATGAAAGATCCATGAGTATTCATTATAACTGATAAAAGAAACGAGTTTACCTTTTCCAGAATTATTAGTTTATACAGGTGCTTCATTTTATTGTAGATCCTATACCTTTAAATATTTGCTTTGAGACTATACTTACTTCATTTTTTCTGTGTGGTGGCCAACCCTGCCTGAAATGAAACAGAGAAAACAAAACATGAATCATAGGTGGAATATTACTCATTCACTTCGTATGCATTAGGCCATATTTTCAACTAAGACATGAATTTATAGTAAGTTTTACAGACCCAATGAATGCAGAAACATTTTTTTTCCCCTCATAAAAATATCTAAGATTCTAATTTTCAGCCATAATCTAAGACATTATGCTAGTCCTTAGCCCATCTTAGTTCTTTCAACAAGGAAAATGTCTGATGAATTTATTATAAGATTGGAGCTTAAAACAAGTTTTTACAATGATGAAACATTAGACTTCAAGTCTTGAAATCATTTATAGTACTTAGCAACATTGCTGGAGCACATGATAAGCCTTCCAGTCTTTGTTTCTCTGATAAATTATCCTGGCTGATTAGTAGATCTCAATTACTTTCTTATTTTGTTTTAAGATCAGTCACACTGTTCAGCCCACAAGTTATCTAGAAAATGCTAGAGAGTGATCTAGTTCTGCTAGAGAATGCTGTTTGCTATTAAGAAAGGGTTTTGCAGGCTAGTAAAAGCAATGGTAGGAAAGTAAGATTTTCTTTTTCTAACATCCTAAAAAAAATAGCAATAGAACTCATGAAAGAATGTTCCCTAGAGCAGGAACTTAATCTGGTGGAAAAAACATGGATCATATATTTCTTTGTGCAAGTTGGAAGTGAGTCATGCCCTACGTAATGGCTGTTTCAGATATGACTGGAGAGAGAGATTTTTCTACGTTCACATTTTTCTGTAGCTCACAGCACATCGCATGCATATTCATAAAGCCAGACTTTGATATCCGCAGACACTGCAGTCATGCAGTAGCAGTAAATTATACTATCCTGTGTTGCTTATCCATATTTTTGTTAAATTTAATGTCTCCTTTATTAAATTTCAATTAAATGAACACTTACTTTACAGGGGTTTGCTTCCTAAGAGGAGATGGATTGCCTCTTTCATATCTGTCACTTGGTGGCACAGGAGGTTTTGGCATCATTGCTAGCTGTTCCCCTAGGGATCTAAAGCAGGAGCAAGATGATGAAATAAAGGCAAAAAGCTGCTTACTAAGAGATAACTGGGAAATACTGGCATCGAGAGTCTCATCTCCAGAGGCAAAACTCTTACCTTAGCTGTGAAGTCAGAGGCTGTAAAACAACAAGGAATAGTTAAGAGAATGTGTAAGTGTATCAAAATAGGTGAAAAAACATCAATAAGCACCAAACAAAAAAGACCTTACCTTTTCAGGAAAGCTTGGCTTCCTCCCTGAAAAGAGTAAAAGCTTACATTTAGAAAAAATGAAAGTTAAGATAATTTATTAAACCTTCTATGAAACAAACAAGTTTTGAATATCATTGAAAGTTAATTTTGCAGATTGAAGCACTCAGCCTCCTGAGAAGTAAGCCAGAAAAATATTTTGGCTTGGCAAGAGATGGCAAAATTGCAGTATCTCTTATTAAAGGAAAATTTAAAAATTTTCAAAGTGGCATGTTTTACAATCATATTTTCTGTGGTTCAACTTTGAATTACTGGATACTTTTATGCCATTATATAACATATGAAAGTGTTTAGATGATAAATAAAAGTCATACAGTAGTCTCTTTAGATTCTTTGTAAAACATGGTTTTCAGGTCTGAAACAAATGCTATTTTTTTTCCTATGTTTTTTCAGTTCTCAGCATTCTTTTAAGTCTGGGTGCCAAATTACATATAGTAGTGTATGCAGAGTTTCATTAGCTTTGTATGCAAAAGTTATTTCCTCTTTTAACCTACTAAATATTTCCTTGTTCATTCACATAAGTATTACAGCAAACCTTTATTGCACAGGGTTCTCTTGATGTCTTTCCGTTCAGCTAGTCCTGAGCTAGGGTTGCTACTTTCTAGATACAATTTCTCTCACTTTATAAGTACTGTTCACATAATTTATTCATAAACAGATCATGTATGTGATTAGATTGCAGTGCATTTGGTTGAGCCTTGTTCTTTTGCATGAATGATATTCAAACTGATAATTTTGAATAATTAAAAAAACCACATTGATATTAGCATAAGCAAATACTGACCTGATGCTTGGCTTTCTCTTTCAAATGGTGGAGCAAGGCGATCCAGTGGAGGTTTTGTGCTTCTGTCTATAGAAGGAGCTGGGGCTAAACACAAAAGCTGTGTAAGATAATTTGCTAGTATAGGTCAATATATCTTTATTTTGCATAGCCATGAACTGGTGTTACTTCTTAGAATAGCAAGTGACGCTTCTGTATAAATAGTAGAATAGAGTGGAATTGAGGAGATACAGGCAAAAGTGAAGTGCTATATAGCTTGTGGGAAAAGCTTTACAAAGAGAAAACCAGCTATACTTACGTTTCAAAGGCTTGATATTTCTGTCTCTACTCAAGTCATTGTTGCTTGGTGGAGGAGGAAAAGCTGGCAGCTAAAACAAATATTTTACATGTGGTTAAAGTGTGTCTTCACCTTTCTGTTTTAATTTTAGTATATTAACTCCACCGCACCACATCTGCCAATCTTTGTCTCTGGTACAGCACAAGGAATAGGTCTCTGCTCAACGCAAGGAGGATAGGAGCCATTAACACTCCTGAAGAATGACCTACATACATGGTTTTTTTGTTAGATGCAGAATTGCCTCCATCTGTTTAGTCTCACAAGGAATACTCTAGTGGGATGTTATCTTTGGGGAGGGCATGAGTATTGTCAAAGGAAGGAAACAGGAGCTTCAACCATGCTGTTGTATCTTTGCCCTTTCAATGCAGCAGGTGTTAGTTTTGAAAACTGGTACTGAAATTAGTGGATGTAAATTTGAAGCTGAGAAATACATATTAAGTCTGTGTTACTGACTGTTGCTGACTGAGGCAGGGGGAGAAAGGACTGTTCTTTGTTACTGGGTGAGCTGGGGTCAAACAGCATTGTGTTGTCAGCAGCTGCAAAAGATGTTTGCATCTAAACCTAGATTTCTCCAGACAAATGCCTTCCAATGTTCGTTCTTATTCCAAAAAAAATAGAGCAGCAATTTGGGATAGCAGTCTTGAGAACTCATGACACCCAAGAGTCCTGTGTGTTTTATATATATGAACTATGACACTGGGTCAGACCAAAAGTCCCTCTATCACATCCTAAAATTACCTTTATTGTGTACATGGGTAGGCCTAATGTACATCTGTTCTGGCATACAGTGAACCTATAGTGCCAGTTGTAAACAGCACAATAGCTTTCAGTTTTGAAGTATTCACAGTACCAAAAAAAAGGAAAAAAATCTGGGTCATCAGGGTTCTTGTTATACAGTCCCTTATACTTTTCTGTGATCTTAATTCAATTGGACAATTGCTAGAAGTGTAGCTTGGAAAGACTTAGCCTTTTTTTCTTTTTACAAATATCACTAAAGAAACAGAAAGACATCTATTACAAATCTATAATTTATATGGGAGAGGCATTCACAAGTGGGTACAAATTTCCAGTGTAAGAAATAGCCAAGTAATGTGAAATAATTTAATATATTTGTCCCATGAAATTTAATTGTTCCGTGAAAAAATGGCCACCCTGTAACAGAGTTCAAATCTATCTTGATGGCTGAAATTCTTCCTCTACCTACACTATCTGAATAAAAATGGCATTACATTTGGACTTCTAAGAAGGTACTGGCAAAGGAAATAAGTGAAATATTAAGAAAGAAACATACAGAAGCACCTCTTCCCCCAAATGAAGCTGGTACTGGGGATGGACCAGGTCGCTGGGGAGGTACTGGAGGCTGATGTGATGATCTAGTTGTTGGAGGTCTGTCTAAAGAAAACAAAAATCCCAAACTAAACAACTACGCAGAGTTGGTTATTTTATTCTCATTAGATCTTTATGAAAAAGAGCCGTTGCAGTAACCTGCATACTTAAGTTAATACATCATAAAGGCATTGTTTTAGTATATAATGGATAGTTGCTTTATGATCAATGTTGTTTTGGCAGTTTACAGGCTCATCTGCCCCTTTGGTGGTGAGGTGACTCCATCTGCTAGTCTGTTGGCCCACACTGTTTATTTTCATTCACTGCAATGCAGTGACGGTGTGAAACACCAGCCAGTCTAAATGGCAGTTTTGTACTCCTGTATTTGACTCCACAACTGCAGGCTGCTGAAGAATCAGACATAAAAAAATGACAGGCAGAGAAAGCTGATCTCTGTCTTTTCCCAATTTTCACTAGAGTTTTTTGCCACTGTTGTGACAACTTGCTCTGTTGAAGGCTGCACTGATAAACCTCATATAGTATGCACATATGTTTAACTTCATGCAGATTCAAACCAAAGGCCAAATAATGCACACATCACACGAAACTAATCTTTGATCTAATGGAGCTTGTCTGAAGTAGGAAATTTAGCTTTAAAAGTCACAAAGCCACGAACATGCTGTAAGTCTGTGTCACTAGATCTTGTTCATGAACTAGACTGTTGACTTCAAGGAAAAACCTTCTATGTTCCATTACCACATCCATTCATGTGGGTGATAATGTGTGAAAATATCATTTACAAATTATTAATAACACTTAATTTTTAGTAATTACCTATATAATCTGTGTTGTTTGCAAGTGACTTGGCAGGAAATATGACATTGTGGTGTGCTTCATCATTATTGGATGGAGGTGGCTCATAGCCATCACTGTCATGTTCTGCTTCCTCAGGTTCTTCTGTTGGTGATTCATAGTCAGCCTCGTCTTCCTTTTCCTGGTCATCATCAGGGCTTTCATAGTCATCATCTTCATCCTGGCAAATGTACATAAAAGGTGGGTGCTGTAACAGGATACTAAACACTTCAGTACTATTTCCTTATGGCCTTTCACTGTGGTATCTTTCACTCTGGAGGATATCAGCTTTTTAAAACCAGTTTGAGTGAAAAAATTTTGTGTTGAAGTAAAATGGGGAAAGGAAGCAGCATTTTATTAATGCATACAGCACTCAACAGCTTAAGAAAGGAAACGAGTATAATTTTATAACAGTAACTGCAGTGGAAGGCCAAGATAAGGTGATAGCTTGTTGAAATGCACAGTGCCTTTGTTTTACGTAACAGACGAGGTGCCAGCAAACAGTTCAGTGCTTCCTAGAAACACATTGGAGCAGCAGTTGATGCCTGTTGATATTTGTTCTTACTTAATAGCATGTACTTCACAGCCTGCAACTCAACTATTTAAAAATGCTTCAGTAAAAATGAGGTCTTTGGTATGGGTCTTGGTGCCTGCCACTGACCAGAACCAAACCAGCTTTATACAACTTGCAGGACTAGTAAGATCACAGTGAAAATATGGTAGTGGTCATTGCACATATCTTCTGTGCAATCTGCCAAGGCTTACAAGAAAAAGAATATTCAATTTGTCATTGGTATCTTGGCTAAAAGTTCCAGACTAGTTCTGTATTGACATAGAGCCCAGGTGCTCTATAGGTGGCTACTTTTACCTTTTGTGCTCCTAAAATAGCAGCAAATCTCCTGCAGACTTAGTAGCAAGTGGTTTTTAAAAATCCCTCTCCATTTTTGGCAAAAAAACATTGGCACTGGTCAATGTAAGAGATCTTCATAAACCCGGACTGTGCATCAGTCAGCTTATTCATTTAGCTAGCTGAGTCGTGTATGCTTCACCTAATGATGTTTACCAATGCATTTTCTATGCTGAAAGGCAAAAGGAACTTTTGCAGTCCAGTTGGCTTAAAAAAATTAGATTCTTCAACAAATCAACTCTAGAGAATAAAATGGCAAGAATTTGCCATTGAATAACATAGCAACTTTTCCTTTACTAGCCACCTCTTTTAAGAGCTTGAAATAGCCATTTAAAATTCAGCTAAGATTCTATGAAGACCTGGTCACAGGCTGTGAGCTTCTACTTGAGCCAGTGGACTGCCATTCTGAAGCTTTGCCTTGCATTACCGGGGGAAACCCTTTTCTGAATGAAGAAATTTTTGTGCAGCTACTCCAATCATTCATGCTCCTACTTCTCTTTCTCCTCATCCTAACACCCCCTGCCATTGCTCACTCCATCTGTGCTGCCCAAAGTAGATAATGCAAGAAATGATGGACCTTACAGAAGAGGTAATCCATTCAACCAGTAAGTTTTGTTAATCCTGATACTCACAAATGAAGACCAGCCACCGTCTTCTTGACTGTATCCTGCGTAAAGAAGCAAAACCACAGGCTTCTTAGCATGTACAACACACATGTAAAACGACACAACAAATCCCAGATCAGTTCTGAACCACAATACTATGTCACAGGCACAAGGTAGGCCTTTCAAAGGCAGGCAGGTATTCATGAAAGGTACTACGAACAACATTCTGATCCAAAACTAAGAGTATAACTATCCTTGTATGAGATTATATATGTGCTGTCACTTCAAGTTTGTCCTACGCTTCCAGTTTTAAATATAATTTGAAGTAGAGTGCTTTCAGAATGAGCAGAGACTTCTTATCTCTTTTTTTAATACTATTTTAGCTTTCATATCAAAAGTTTTTTTAATTTCAGTAGGACTGGGAGAACATGGTAGCTTGCAGAAGTTTTAAATGCTCGTGGCCTATTAAGAAAATAATTGAAATAAAAATTCAGAACACAGCAGACATCTAGAAGCTTACTTCTCTAATATAGGGTGCTGCTAGGAGTAGGGGCAGGGGGCAGAGGTGTTAGAACAGAAATACATAAGCACTGATACTATGTATTGGGTTAAAGAAAGGCAGTTTGGGAATGCTCATGTAAATGTCCCTGCTCTTGCCTTTCTTCACCATCTTTTCTATTAAAATATTTTTTCTTACTTGTTCTCCTGTAACTACTCTTTATTCCTTTTGCAACTTCTTTGTGCTCTCATCTTTTCCTGTTTGTTGTTTCACGTCCTGCCCCCCCCCTTTACTCTGCTCTGCAAGGATTAACTTAATATCTTAATATTTTTAAACACTTTTTGTTGTTAGAGACTATCTGCCGGTACACACTTACCTGGATTTTCAGGACATTTTTGTGTTTGGGCCCTACAACAAAGATACAAACAAATAAATTCTTTCCTTTTGCAATTCTTAAATATTTTAAGCATACTAAAATCTATTGCAAATAAAGGTAATGGTTGTCTTTAACAGTAGAATGAAGCTTATATAGGTGAGTTTAACTCCGCCCAAAATGCCAAAAAACACACTACTTCATATTTCACATACAGGATCCTAATATAAGCTAAGCTATCTTGAAAAAAATTCAAGTCAGTAAGGTCACGTGTTTAGAAACAAGGGAACTCAGTAAATAAACTTACCGGGGGCCCCAGTCCTGAAAATAGAAACTTTCTTTACTAATTCCATTCAAGCTGCTGAAAGTCAAGTGTATAAATATTTGTAGGGTTGATAAATATTTTTATGGTTTTCAGTTCTAGTTTGAACTCTAGTTAATGCAAAGATGTAAAATCATGTTATCAGATGATGTAAAACCATGTTATGTAGACTAGACTTAGATTTTCATTGTATATGAATATAAATTCCTCATGCAACGTTCTTTCAATTTTTGCTCTTTTTCTATTGCAAGAATATTATATTCAATGATAAGTCATAAAGTATTAAAAAGTGTAATGATGTATAGGTCTGTGAAATGCATTAATGATGGTTTATTAATGCAATAATATGTGCCTAGACTTTATAGCATTCCTAAAGATTAATTTACTCAGGTGGAAAATTGTATGAAATTTATATGTTACTTGGTTCTGGACATGGCAGAAGTATCTAGGGTGTTCATGGGCTCAGGCTTTGCTATTCTTAACAGATAACATTAACAAAACAGAGTTTTATTTTGTATCGTTTCCAGGCTGTCCCTCTGACCCAGGTATTATTGATCAAATGGAAAACAGTCCAGAAAAGATATATCTGAAAGCTTTGAAAAAGAAAGCTGAATTGGTTTACTTACCATTTTGGAAAGAAAGATAGCCTCCCTTCATTTCTGTTTATTTCTTGACTTAGTTTACTTACAATTCTATTTAAAAGAAACACAAAAATAGTTTCAAAAAACTCCTTGAAACTTGTCAGTCATTTCCTTAGCTGCTTTCCGTCAATATTTACTAAATTAAACCTGGTAATTCAGAATTATTATTTACTATGTGGTAAGAATATTGAATTTACCATCTTATTGCAAAGTTGCACTACAGCATATCCAATTGAAAACTAGATTTTTTTTACATAGATAAAAACCCATATTGTTGGATCAAGTTTAAAAATAAACATTAAACCCAGCAAGCCTTAGAAACTTTGGGTATGGTAGACATCACGCACTAGAACACTGCTTTAAATAATGGTGATTGCATTTGTATTATTTTGCATGGAAAAAGCAGATAATGCGTCAGGAAACAACTTCTACCAAGCTTATGGTTGCAAAAGCAGGGGTTAAATGTACCCTATATCTACTCTCTGTTATTTTTGCCTCCCTCCTCTGCAACCAAAATATACCTAATGCACAATCCCTCCAGTAAAGAAGGTGAAAAGGTTGAATTAGTTTCATGTTATAACACATTTGCAGGGTAGGGCAGAACAGAAATATTCATGGAACATATGAAGACTATAGCTGTATGTCTAGAGAGATTTTTTGCAAGTTGATGTGTTTGTCATCACTCGTGTAGTTTGTATACAGCAGCAGGGTCAATAACAACCCATGAAATGCAATCTTGAGTAAAATTTCAGTCAGGAGCATGCATTTATGCTGCTAATATTGCTGGCATCCATAGCCAGCCCAGACATCTGGGACTGGGAGTTTTTATGTTGACTGACTCCCTGAGAACAACTCTAAGGTTACAGGACAGTCATTACTGAGATTATCAGAATTCAGTCCACTGAGAGCAACAGAATTCTGCTCTGCTAGTAATGAAGTTTGCCTCTATGATTATTTTGTTTCAAATGAAGTTTTTGTTTCAAAGAAAGCTTATGATGAGTCATGGTCTGATTGTTAATTCTCATTATTTCTTTTTGAGGAAAGTCCCATTGAGAAAGTCCTGTGACAACCAAAACAAATTGGTTACATACATCTGGTTAAAAATATCCCATTTTACTTCTAGCTTATACTATTTAGGTCTATCAGAGACAGTAACTGTGAAAATAAAAGTAGTATGAAAAAAAATCAGAAACTCAACATGTCTGTTTATCTCAGATTCTAAATTCTGTAAAATCTTTGTTGTTTGTTAGTGCAGAATTCTTTTCCATACATCTTAGATCTGGCCAATCAAACTTTATCTCAGTATTGTAAAATCTTTGTTTATGGCCAGGCAGTTACCACTCTATTTTGTTTTTCTTCTTCTTTCATGTCTTTTTCTGCTGCTCAGCAATAACAATCCCCTAGTTTTTTTCCAAATGACCTAATTTGTGCATCTTTTTCATGTCTAACTGGTTTTCTGGGCTGGGGCTTGAGGAAGACAAGCTTTCAAGCAATCTAATATTAAAAAAAAAAGCCAACAAAAAGATACTTTTTTTTTTTACCTTGAACAATGCTAAAATATTTCTCTTATTTTGAATATCCCTTCTCTTGCCCTTGCTACTTTCCTAATACTTACCTTACTGTAATTCAGATTAAAAGATAAATTCAAGGCATAGGTTTGTTCTGTTTTCTTAGGGAAAATGCTATGGGGACAGATCAGGCTGCCAGCAAGTATCAGAGAACAAGCAATTTCAGATCAGTATGGTCATGCTGTCTAAAAAGGATGAAGATGGGTAATTTGAAGTTAAGGATATGTACTCAAGGATCCAAGTATGAAAATAGAAAGGCAGAGGAAGAATATTTTGTGGTTTTTCTTTTTTAAGACAGTACTTTGCAGTTTTCTGGTTTGAAGCAAATTTTGTCATACTTGCCCCTTTTGAAATAAGCACATGCACAAATTTTAATAATTTAAGAACAATTACAACTCTCTAAATCTGACATCATTACCCAAGCAAATTGTATAAAGCAAGAAAAATGCCAAGTTATAGGCATAGGACTTCTCTTGCTCTTCTTCTTTCCCATGCAATCAACACTCCTCTGCACAAGAAATTTCCTTCTGATGCAGGTGATAAGGAAGTTGCTGTGTGAATAATAAATTCCATGTGAGACATCAGGAAACGTTCCGGGGTGAACCGTGCACTGTGTATACCAGTGCTTTGGTTGAGAAGTGGATTACGGAACTTGTGTGTGGCTTATTCTCTGTTGTAGAAGAAGATCTTTCATAATATTGTGTTTATTTTCAGCTAAAGAAGTAAAATGAAGGTCACTGGTTTCAGAGCTAATAATTCTTCTAGTTCAGACTCCATGGGTATGAATGAGACCTGAGTGTTTGGAAGTTTTCTGGACTAAACCTGGGCTGGCTGCTATGCGGATTTACACCAACTGGTTTTTGAGGAAAAATTAAAAGGAAAAAGTTGGTCATCTTATCTTGCTGCCAAAATATTAATCATTTGCTGCTTAAAATACAGTGTCTGATCTTTATTTCAAGTTTATTTTAAATGCTTCAAACCAATGGCTCAGAGAGGTTATTAGAAGAAAGCAAGGTTTAGGATGGTAGCACTTTACAAGCAACGTTATTACGGAAGATTGGTGCACTGAGCAGCTGAGTCTGTAGCCATGTGAGGAAGGAAGTACCAAAACCACACTGCTTTCTGAGTTGTGGGAGTGGATGATAGGAGAGGATAAGGCAACAGCACTTGCAGAAAATGTTACTCAGACTTCTCTTTCTCTTTCTACCTCTTCCACCAGATGCTTAGTTTAAAACTGGCAGGAAGTTGAAAATAAAAAAAACCCCCACACAACCAACCCCCAAAGCAGTACTCCAAAAATGGCTTTTGTTTGCTTAACTGCAGATACTGTTGTCGTGAGCAGAATCCATTCTACATGTATTGGGATAAAGGACTTTAGGATGGGTGAGAGAGATGGAAGGCAAAGTCCTCTAGGGCCAGGAAGTTGCATAGTTGCATATTGAACACTGTCAAGAGCACAGTTGGTGATGAAGTCTTTGTTTTGGCCTTTGAGAAAAGTCTGTTGGGCAGATGCAATACTATTATGTTGGCTTCAAAACTGACTGAATATCAGTTATGTTCTAAACCTTTCAACAACCTTTAGCATCCCATCTGAGAGAGCACGTGTGCACACATTCATCTCTGCCCAGGGCATACCTTTTTAAAAGAGAAGGGCATTACAGATTTCTTAATTTTTAGGTTTGCACTGGACGTAGAACGACTTTCAGACTGTGCCATGTTTACAGGCTCTGAATGTGTCCCATTCAGAACTCGCACACTTACCATGTTTGAACTGGCAGATGCACTTATGTACTTTAGTGCAATGATGCTCTTTTTATTACTGGAAATTTTCACAAGTGCTGTGGGATATGCCATAAGCTTTCTGGCCAAGATTGAAAATTTCAAATCTCAGGTTTGCTAGCAACCTGCCACTGAGGATAGCAAAAGGGATCAACAGCCTGTATTAGTACCTTGACTTGGCAAACTTGGAAATGTTTTATCTCAAGATAGTAAACAGTAAGAGTGGCAAAGGCTAACTTCAGTGTTTATATCATGGTTCAGGTATCAACCAACCATCAACGTTATTTGGAATGAGATCTTTGCTTTTTCTTGTTTATTAATTTTGACCACATTAAGTAAGAAGGACACTGAGGTGCTGGAGCGTGTCCAGAGAAGGGCAACGAAGCTGGTGAAGGGTCTGGAGCACAAGTCTTATGAGGAGCGGCTGAGGGAACTGGGGCTGTTTAGCCTGGAGAAGAGGAGGCTGAGGGGAGACCTCATCGCGCTCTACAACTACCTGACAGGAGGTTGTAGTGAGGTGGGGGTTGGTCTCTTCTCCCAAGTAACAAGCGATAGGACGAGAGGAAATGGCCTCAAGTTGCACCAGGGGAGGTTTAGATTGGACATTAGGAAAAATTTCTTTCCTGAAAGAGTGGTCAGGCCTTGGAACAGGCTGCCCAGGGAAGTGGTAGAGTCACCATCCCTGGAAGTATTTAAAAGACGTGTAGATGAGGCGCTTAGGGACATGGTTTAGTGGGCATGGTGGTGTTGGGTTGACGGTTGGACCTGATGATCTTAGAGGTCTTTTCCAACCTTAATGATTCTATGATTCTATGATTCTAAGGCACATTCTGTTGAATGTGCTTTAAAATGTTTTGCAAGACTCGCATTTGTTATCCACAAGTACAAACCTTTATGACCTTCTGTGACTGCCAATAGTGATAATGAGCAATAAGAAAACTCTATGCATCCCTTAAGCTGTATATTGGCCTTTTGTTTCATTAGATTTATTATCAAAATGTTAATTACACCCTCATGATTAAGTCTGAGTTTCATTTAGCACTCAAGACAGATATTCAATGTCTGCTTTGTGTAAAATATATCATATCCCTTCCCTGTTTCACCAATGTACCACTTACTCTTTCAGTATGCAGTGAGTTGTTTGTGAAGATTCAGGTGCGTATATTAACTTAGTGGTATTAATATTAACTTAAATGGTTCTTTCATAAGATATAGCAAGTACAAGAGTAATATGAATGAGCTCAACAGAAAACATAACACTACAGTTTTTAACAGTTTTTCACATTGTTACAAAAATGCCAAGTGTTAAGCATAGTGTATGTTTGAAGAAAACAGGTTGCAACTGAGCTAAGCTATTAATAACTGAACAAATTGTTAGGTCAACCATGATGCTATCTCTTACTTAGGATGACAGCTAAATTCATGATAACCCAATCTCTAAAGCTGATGGTCATGCCACGATTATTTATTTTAATTTCTCAGTGGGAAAAGGGAGAAAATGTGTGTGTTAGGTATTCCTTCCAATAGATTACTTGGCCCAAATGTTGCTGCCCCTTAAAGGTCTGTGGCAATGTGCTAAATTTGGTATAATGGCTGAATATCTCCTGGGCCATAGATTTCCACTAAATCTGTGACCAAGTGAAGGGAAAGCCCTTCATGGTCTGGAACCTGGAGACCGGGTTTCACCACATGTGGTCATGCAGTTTTAGGTCTTCAAAGATTGTTCATCAGTGCCATAGCAGACCTATGTAGGTCGCTGGAACAGATAGGCATATATCTTTTCATAGAGTAGCAACTATGCTTAAATTCTTAGGATATGGTTAGTATTCTTAAAAGTAAATTTTTACCAAGTGATTTAAAGCTGATACTCTGTATCTTCAAATAGAAATGTATATATTCAGGTAGAAATACTACGTGGTGGCATTTTCTATTTAGCTTGAAGAAGTGCCTGAAGCTCAGTATGTGTCCAAGTACTGCCTTTTGAACTGCTGCCTTAAACCAGTCCAAGAATCTCTCTTCAGTCCCTCTTCCCTATGTCTACCCAGAGCAGTTCGACTACAACACAGAACTGGCAAAGACCAAGTGGCTTTTTCCACCTCCCTGTTGTCTAAAGGAAAGAATGAAAGTGAAGCGGTGAGTGGAGCTGTACTCTGCCTTTTGTTTTGGGACCTTGTGCCTGAGCTAGACTTTTCACGCTACTGTGCACAAGTTGGAATGAAAGAAAGGTTTCCATATTAAATCAAAATATAGCATTAAGCAAAGTTAATTTTCTAAACTTCGCCCCAAGGTTGTTTTAATAGCAACATAAGTGCAAGAGGTCTCAGGGTTCCAAAGTGTGACAGCATCATCAATGTAAATATTCTGAATGAGAGTAAAAACTTACTTATATTTATCAGAGAAGCCCCAAATGGAAGAATATTTTCAAATTTGCAGGTTTATTTAAAGGCCTAGGTACTGCAAGGAAAGAAGGGCATGTGGGTTCGTCTAATGCTCTGTTTGGCACAGCTTTACGCATAAAATGAGGTCTACTTTTGGTTTTGATCCTCTCAAATACTCCATGACAAAGTTGATCTTCATTCGGTCTTCATTTTCCATCCTCCACAAGATATCATGCCCCAATAGACATGCGGGATAGATTTCCTTAACCATGCCAGTAAAGATCACCTTGTTTACAAGACCTCAGTATCTCTGGCAGGCATACAAGAAAGTTAGGTGGTGACCGCAAACAAGAATGGGAATCCCTACTGAGGTAAATGGACTGTGGAGTTTGTTATGATCCCTCAAGAAATCTATGTGTGGCCTATGCATATGCAGGTGCAGTGAATCCTGCGCAGACTTATTGTCCATTAACCCTTGTGCCTGCAAAACAGCCAGAATAAAACTCACAGGAGTGTCTGGATGCATCAGCCACTTTTATATGGTGTCCTTATATATATAAATTTTTAGCAAAGTTTTCAGTAAAGAGCTCGGCCCTTTTAAAGGAGAGTTTTAAAGATTTTATGAAGTATTTTAGTATTCAAAATAGTGTTTAAATCCTTTTTTGGTATTTAAAAGTAAGATTAATGGAGATGTGCACCTGTAACATGGCTGGTGGAGATAAACTTTCAAAATAATAATTCTGTTAATAATAATAGAAGATTGTGGGGGGTTTTATTAGTTTCAGGAAGTGGTCTATCATGCTTTGTAATGACAAATATTACCTACTTAGACACGTAAAGATTCTTGTAAAAGTCACAGAATCATCCCCAAGTAATGACACAGTTATATTCAAAACTTGATCAGTAGATTTGCTCAAAAGTATATATTTAGTAAAACCACATACCCAGCTCCGGAGGTCTGTATGGATGTAGGCTGTGGTTTGCAAACCTTGTATAGTTGCAAGTGCTGGGTTCTATTCTTGGTATATGTAGGTCAGCATAACCCTGCTAAATTTACTGGAGAACAATCTCTCTTGTATATGTACTTTTTATTCATTCCACTGGTCAATGCTCTAAGTGTGACACTTGCTATTTATATTAAACATTTTTACAGAATATGTCAGATTTTAGCACTGTTGTATATCAGGTACTGTAACTACAATATGCTAACTTGTATTTCAGCTTCTAGAAAAACTCTTCCTACTAGGTGAAGTTTACATTATGATATAAAAGTAAGGAGTGAATGCGTTCTAGTAGAAGTCAACAGCAAGCACTTTCCGTTTTGGTGAGAGCATGGAGGTTATGAATAATGAAATTCTCAGTAATGAAATTAATGTTAAAAAGAATGGCAGGTTGTTCTACCCATGAATTTTATTCTGTTGTTTGGTTGGTTTTTTTAAAATGGCAACCAGTTCTCTTCCCTATTAAAGCTCTAAATTCTTGTTTTAAACAGTGGCATTACATGGAGGACCCCACATCACACCATCCTTTTTCCGTGTATATTCACAGTATTCTAGTGAATTGTTTCCCTGTTTGTAAGTGAGAAAGGAGAAAGCTGAGAACAAGGGCATTAGTTCTAAAACTTTCATTCAGATTTATTAATTTAGTTATTTATTCAGTTTTTCAAGTTGTGCACCAAGCTTCGCTCTTCTTTTAAAGCTCTTGATTTCAGGTTTTCTTCTTGTTGAGAAACCCAAAAGATCTGACTAGAAAAGGCTGTTCACTTTCTGCTAGAGTGTTATAAGGTAAGTGGACTGTGAAAATCGAATTTTCAAAACATTTTTGAGATATCAATAGATTAGATGAGATAGGAGCAACTCCACATTGTTAGATTTCATTTCAGCTATTCACCTATGACATTAATATCTCTTGTATGTGTATTAGACCTTCCACTGACCACTTTTGACTCATGAATTTGAAAGGAAATCACCAAAAGTTCTCAAAATTACTTCAAACAAGGAGAATACAAGGGAATTTTGCCAAACGACTGGTAAGGAGGGACAAATTGTCAAAGAATTACAAGCAATGTGTTTTACAGTATGGAAAGATGAGTTTTTCACAGACAATCTGGTGTAACTCTGGTCCCTCAGTCTCTGTAACCATAGTTAAATGTTGCTTTTAATTGACAGTAAGTTCAAAAATGCTGAGACATCTGGGCATCTTTTTTTTATAGCATGTGGGCCCCCTTACTAACACATCATATACCAGCAATCCCTATTATTGGGAAATTTATTGTGTGAAAATATAGGTATGATCTTAAAAACATGTCATGTCTGAGGCTTTCAAGTTCAAGTCCTTGCATATCTGATCCGAACAGAGGTATCCTCCTGCCCTCAGATCTAGCCACCAGCTTACCCATGAGTGCATGAATGTGACAGACCACACAGGTATTTCAAAATTTTTCAGTATTCTTAGCTTCACCAAAACATCTTACACAAGCTCTGATGCATCAGAAAAGGTGAAGCAGACTGTATCTCCCGGAGCAAAATCAAGATATGCATAGAGGGAGTGAGTCTGGAATTGGGAAATGAGCAACAAAGAAACAGCCATGTTGGAACAACTTGAGTTCCTCTTTTTTTCTCCTTAGTTTCTTTAGAAGATCGTGAAGAGCTCCATGTGTCTTATGGTTAGGAACCTTCTAACTTCCAGCTTAAATATGTACCAGACAACTCGTAGCAAAATAAAATCCTTCATTTTTCACCATGAAATATTAGAAGCAGCTAATTTCTCTGATACTCAGTATTGATTTAATGGGAATATTGTTCTTCATTTAGTAACTTTTGTGAAATTGTGAAAGCTATTCAGATAAATGCAAAACTTTTTCAAGGCCTAATCCACAGGCGCTAAAGAAAGATATTTAACACTGAATCAAATGTTCCAGACTGATTTATCTTCAACGCCTACCTAAAGGAAAATCACATGATGAAAGTCGCTTGAACTCCTCAACATACCTGACATTTTTTTTCCTTTGAGTTAAAGTCAGTAGTTAAGCAGTGAACAGTTAAATCATACTTCAAAGGTAATACTCACAAAAAAGTTTAAACTTTGTGTAGCTGCTGTCAGTCAAAGAATTTATGGACAAGTTCTTTTGAACTCCCCCAGACAATTTTTTTTTATTGCATCATTGTTGTTGAGCAGTCATGACAACACTCCTTTTATTTTGGAATATTCTTCTTTTTCTCTCAGTACAGTGCAATAAACAGGTCTCTAACTAATCACTTGCAATCATTTGCCCAATATTTCCTATGAGTTTTCACTGCAGACCAGCTAAGATTGTTTTTAATGTTAAATTGGTTTGGCTTTACTTACGGCACTCTGAGTTTGGGAAATTTCTGAATATCATTTTCAGACATGTTCTGAAAAGGAAACACATGGTATATATCACAAAATTGTCTATGGAACACCCTGCGATTTACAAAAGTTTGCATATTCAAAAATGTGGCATGAAGTTTCAACTAATAGGGACATAAAGTGCATAGAAAAGCAATGCAAGGTAACAGCCTGCCCATCCCATGGCTCATAAGAGAAGTGAACCCATTTTAATAAAAAATCCTCTCTATATTTTTTTTTTGTTTTGATGAATGTTGGTTTTTACTTTATGTTGCTGCCAGTTGTATTAAACTAGCTAGGAGGTTCATAAACATCATGTGTATTTGTTTACACACAAAGGACTTCAACAAAATAATCACAACTAGTTTCAAAGAATAGTATTTCTGTAGCTAGAATGTTTCAATGGTAGTTTGTTAAAAAGATCTGTAAGGAGAAGTAAAACTTTAAAACAGCTCTTACCAGATGAGAGTTGGGTAAATTTGTTTGTTTACCAGTAGATGAGCCATTCTTCTAGGGTTAATATCAAATTAATGGGACTCTGTGCAAAGTTAAAGCCATTTTCTTTTCTGGTTTGGGTTCTAATCCAGTTCTTTTTTGATGGTATATTTTCACATTGACTTACAGGCAAGGTTAAAATCCATCCCTGCTCTGCTTCTCAAAAGAACTGGAAATAAAAGCCTCTTCTGCAACAGCTTCCTCCCTGGAGATTGTCAAAGATACTTAAGCTAAAGCAGGTGAACAGACAGTAAACCAAAAAATTCCTGAACTGTTTTTAACTTTTCTATTTTTTTTTCCTCTTTTCTTTCTCTTGCTTTCTGGATATTGCTTTTCATTGTAGATTGCCATCACCTAGCATACAGGAAAACATATCCTTTATGTATTTATTTTTAAAGAAATCTTGAGATATTATAATTCATCTCAGTGGACAGTGTCAAACAATTAATAGAGAACTACATCCTGGTAACATACTGTGCTACTGATTATGGGTGTGAGCTCAACAGAACATGCATTGCCTGCTTGAAATCATCATCAGTGGCATTCTTGCTGGCAATTTTGGAATTCTGCTTCTCACAGTGAATGTAAAAGGGCAGAATATTTCAAATGCTTTTTTAAACACTTGTAGTTTTAAAACAATGTGCAATGAAATGCCCTTTGTAAAGAGTTGTTCCTGGTAGGGAAGACAAACTTATACCATATATTCTGATTTTATGCTATTTTGCTTCACATCTTTTTAGTACAGCTAAAAATATGGTATTTAAGTGACTTCAGAAGCTAGATATATTTAATTTCTTCATGTCTGCATGGTGAAATCAGGCAAAATTATGCACGATTGCAAAGTTTCAGGGTAAAACTGTAAATCTTAAAATAGAATACCATTTGCTAGAGCAGAGGAGAGTTTTGTGCTAAGAACCTTATCTGAAACATCACAGTATACGTAAAATCACATGTTCTAGTGGAGATGTAGCTGGAAAACTTCTTGGACTTAAGAGCATCCTTGGCAGCCTAACAAAAATCTTTCTAGAAACTGGGATAGCGGGGAGTGTTTCGTCCCCCTTCAACCATAATATAGCAATGAGGTTGCAGATACTCCGGCTGAGAGAGTTAGCCCCTCTCTTCCATCATGTGCAACTCCAAATTTAAGAGAGATTAGTGCATTATGAAAACTTTTGAGAAAGTGTTTTGTTTAGTAAATCACAAGCTTTGCAAACCCTCTTTGGAACATGGATGGTAGTCTGGTTCTTTCTGTGCTTCTTACTGCCAACAGTAGGAAGTTTCTAATTACACATTGACTCAAATGCTATCAACGATTTTCTGAACAGAACAAATCCTCTCTGTGTTTTTCAGCATTATTTTGCCTCTTGGAGTACTCACAGGAGTAAAACACAAAAAAATGTACTCCCTTTATGGAAATATCCTGCAGAATTTACTGAAGAATCGTAATTTTTTCTAAAGACCTCCTAAGCTTCTCTCTGGAATTCTATTCTGGCGATAAACCTGACAAATATTATGGGTTTAAACTCTCATAAAAGGGCCATGCTGCCGTTTTAAATATTAGAGAATCTCTGCTTTTATTCCTACTACATCTCAACTGGACTTTCCTTGTGGTACCCAGTAGATACAGAAATGTGACTTTGAAACTAGGATGTTATTCTGATGAATAAGACAGCAATATTTTTACAGTCAGGTTTACCATATAGATCTGACAGTAGATACAAAACCTGCAAACACCCAGTCTTAACAGTTTCTTTCATGCGAATGTAATTTGGCAGTTTCCAATAACTTACAATATGCAAAAAGCTATTTCTTAGAAAAACCATTCATACAGAGAAGCAATTTTTTTTCAAGATTGCATTGTACTCTAGACTATTCCACTTAAAGTATCCTTTTGTTGTTCTGTTTAACAGGTGAACCTTTCTTCAATTATACAATTGACAAGTAAGTCAAAAGCTTAAAAAAAAAGTCTCAGCAGACGTGAGCAGCTGCTTGCTTACTTAATAGAATCTACTAGGATGCTTCTGAAGAAATGCTGCACTCTGAGCTATGTCTTTACAGAAACACTCTGGAAATAATAAAAAATTACAAAAATCACTTAGGAATCACAAGTTTTTGCTCTTGTTATTTGTACCTCACAAACTTCCACAATTTCATAATGCTTCCAGAGCCAGAACTCCCACTCCAGCCACAGATCCTTAGTGCTTGAGCTAAGGAGAATCTCTTAGGGGTTAGTAGGATAAATCCTATGACACACATCTGAACAATTCTGACTCCACCCAGTAGGAGGGAGGTGTAATAACCTGTTCTTACTAAAGGTGTTTGAAAATTTTTATGTCGCATTTCAATGAAATGTCAAAAAGCTTGATACATTAGGACAAGTAAATAAAAAATAAGAAGGCTTTAGAAGAGGTATGCATAGATTTCCCCACTATGACTAATTATATAAATGATCAAAATGACTACTTTTGGGGAAAATAGAATAGTTAACATTTGGAAATAAAATAAAATAGAAGTAAAATGAAGTAATAATAAAAGCCCTTACACATCTTCATGGGTGTGTATTTAAGACCTGAAAACAATGGAAGTTGTCAGCTTTTCTAAAGTTAAGCCAAGTTGTTGGTAAAGCCTGGAGCAATGTTGATTTAAACCCACTGGGACCTCGCTTACTAGTTTTGGTGCTCTTAAAGTTCATTGATTTTGTGTATTGCTGCAGAAGAAATCTAATTTTAACTATAGAGGCATGAAATAGTGATTACAACAGAAGGCCAGTCATTCTGACCACGTCTGTGTCTTCTTTAGTAGGAGAGGACAATTAATAAATGTGAGTTTTCTGTAGTTAGTATTTGAAAACAAGCACTTTCTATAACGGAAGAGATGAATTCAAGACAAGATTGTGGTTTTATAACTTCCCTGTCAGTTTAAAAAGTACTAAAATATGTGCATATTAAACAACATGCTTGGGTTCCCAGCATTCCATATTTAAAGCAAGTCTGGCTGATTTTAGCAAAGGCATTTACTTCTCATATTTATATCTCAGTAACCATCTGTGAGCTAAGTACTTTGCATCTGCCAATGCAAAGTAAGGAGGAGTCGAAACAATCACTTAATTGGAATTTTATAGGAAGGAATTTTACAACTCTACTTACCAAAAACCTTTGTCCATTTATGCTGTGCTTTCTCACAACTTTCTCACAGTCCTTATACTTTAACTGTCAATGAAAAGAAGATGATTATTACACCCTTAATTACAAGAATGGATTAAGACACTTAGATATAAGGCAAGCTTTGAGTAGATGCTTCAAGTTGCCCTTTTGTATGCTAGAGCCTGTCTAAATGGCTCATTTTGTTCTGTAAACATGGATTTTTAAGACAAAGATTCTTCAGTGGACTTGAGGATTTTCATCCATTTAGGAACATGTAATTTCTCACATTTAAAAAACACCTCACAGTTGCCTGGCCCAAAGAAGTATTTGGAAAATGGATAGTTGTGGTACTGACTAGGATGAACAGCTGCGGAAAACAGGAAGTAAGCAAAAACCTTAGTGTCTTGGAAAACTGAAGCCCTGATCCCAGTCACTGAATTCATTGTTGTGATCGAAAAGCTTCCTCTTCTGGATGGAAATGTCCCTTGTTAATCCTGGAAATTATCTATAATATTTGGAAAGCTTTTCCACAATATTATGTTTTACAGCAGCATCTAGGACAAGGACATGCATTTTAGAAGTTGATCACGTACATAAGAAAAGAAAGCTCCTGGTCCTACCTGGCAAAAATTTAGCAGTAATCTGGGGGACTTTGGGCGGGGGGGGGAAAACCAAACCAAAAAACTAGCCACATCTAGCAAGACATGACTCTTAAATATTTCCAGTGGGTGTCTTAAGTTTTTAGAGAAAAAACTCTAAGAATCATTTGAGAACACATCTTATAATTTGGACCTGGTTAGAATGCATTTTTGCTGTTTCAAGTTGATCAAGTCCATACCAGAAGGAAGCCAAAGAGCGGGCAGACAACATGACTTTTTAGAGCTTTCAAGACAGAAGAATGGCTCTGGTCCTGCCTGAAACTTTAGTTAGTGAAAGTTATGCAGACAAATGATCTTGTGCTGCTGGGATAATTCCCCTAAAGTAGAGAACATCTTATAGGGAGCATTATGTCCTTTCTTAGTTCTATCCTATTTATTCATTTTAAGGAGTAATCTTGTAACTTGGTATTATATGAGAACAGATCCTGAAAACATCTGAACAGCTGAGAGAATATTTTTAGGAGCCACCTTCCGTTACTCATATGCAGAAACAGACCTATGCTAAATATTTTAGGATACAGATTAAGATTTTTGTGCAGACTGAGGACTTAAACCTATAAATAATGTCTCTTTTATATAGTGAGTGCTATCATGACATTACCAGCACAAGTCTGTATGCAGCAGTAAGCAATTGCTATACTTGGTAGAACACATCAGTGTGACTGAGACCTAATCTCATTCTTAAAGTAATTGATGAAAAATACTGTTCAGCTATTAAAAATAACCCTCAGGATATTACAAATACAAACATCTTTGCTTTTTCTAAAAAAAATGTAAAGTCTTTAGAAATTATTTGAAGGTTTGGTTCTTTATTGGTCCTTCCCTATTTTGAATACATGGTTTAAATTAACATAGGCTTTAAGTTAACACACCTAGAATCATAAATTAGATGTTATTACTGTTAAATATGAAGAATTTTTATTTGACAGAAACTGAGAACTTTATTAATGCCAGTAATACATCATAGTATTTTTACATAAGTTACTGATGTGTATGCTGGCTGAATTTTGCTAATATGAAGGTGTAAGCTAACAATGAATTGATGAAAATCTTAACCACTGCCCTTGTGTCATGACCAATCACTTTAGGTGAGAGAAGATTTGAATGTGATTGTCCTTTGAAAATCATCCCACAATTATCTTAGTTTAGGAGGGAAAAAAATTGCTTATCCCTCTTGGATATGAATCCTGGACTTTGAACATATGGCTGCAGGCAAAATGTATTAGTCAGATGCAAATAAAGCATTCCTAAGCTATAACATTTGATCCTTTAATGTGTGAGGGAAATTGTATGAGTTTAGCTGGGGAGAAGATCTGGTCACTTATGACAGTTGTCCAGAGCTGGCTGACTTAGGCTGACATTATTGTCTTACACATATTTCTTAGATGACTTTAAGCAGCTTTTGCCCTCATTCACCTCCCCAAAAGTGGAATGCCAAGATTATCTCTGTCCTGGGGGGTATCTGGATCAGTAGAGGGGAGGTACTCAAAAATTCAGTTATGATAGAACTTACAGTTAATCCTTTTATCGCTGTTAAGAATATCATTATCAACTCTTTCAGGAAGCTAATTTCCCTTCTTAGTCTCTTGGAAATGGTGATCCAGACCACCATGCACCAGTGTTGTAATGTTTTTCGTATTTGTCTGAAGTTGCCTGTTGATAATAATCTCATCTGTTCCATCTCCAATTCTTTGTTTCACTTGCCTGTGCCACTAACCCCTACACCCTAAAATTAGAGGTTTGCAAGTAGTTGGCAGTTTCACATCTCTGGAGATTTAGTAGACATAGACTTTGTGTTTGATTTGCTTGTCTTTATTAGCTAGTTTTGCATTCTAGTATCAAACTTGCCTCAGCTCCCCAAAGAAAACTCTTACAGAGTTATAGGAGCTGTTGAAACAATAAATTTCACATTATTTCAAAATGAAGCCCAAACTGTTCCAGGTTTTACAAGTCTTGTCTGACAGCTCACTTGAAAATTAACCAGCTATGCTGGCTTTGCTTGAAAATCTTCCCAAATCTTCTGATTGATGTGAATGTTAAATTCCAGGCTGACAGTTTTGGACTTTGGGAGGAATGTATTCAGTTGCAAGGGAGATGGAGCAGGCACTATCTCTGATGTGAATTGAAAAATGAGCAATTTACAGAGAACACATAGAAATGAAATTTCAGTAAAATTGTCTCAGTTACACGTTCCTGGGCAATTACAAAGGTGTCAGCATTGCTGTGCAGAGGATATATATTGGCAGTGAATTCCTGTATTGCCTTTCAAATTATTAGCTCAGTTTGGAAACTCCTCTGCATTATAAAATGAAATGTATAGATTGTCACAAGTGAAAAAGGTGTCAAAAGAAAGAGAAATCCCTACCTAGTCACAAAAGGTAACATCAGAAAAATGCTAGTAACATTAGCTAGTAATCTTGAGCCCAAGAAGTTTTAGAATAGAGAAGTCAAACCAAAAAGCGAAAGGTTTTTCCAACTGAGCCTAAAAAAATTAGGAGTTGTGTATCCACAACTGTTAAGTTTCTGGCTGGGTTCTCATGGATGTGATTAGCAAAGATATTCAGAGGCTCATTTATGAACACTGAGCAATTTGAAAAAAAACTCTCTTCTGAAAATCATTGAAGAAGACCTAGAAAGCTTGCAATCTTCACACATTAATGCCTTCTACAGCTGTTAATATGTTATATCAACAATTGTTGTAGTAAAGTGTATATTTTCTCTGAAAAGCCATGAGTTTCTCTTATACCCAATTTAAAACACACTTCCAAGATTCATTTATAGATTTCACTGGCCAGTTTAGCTCAGCTTCTTAATTGTCAGTGGTTTTGCTTTTAGTTTTGCAGCAAGCTTTGCCAGTTATAAAAATATGTAAATTTAGCACAATGGTACAGTAGTTTGCTCCTCCATCATACAAAGACGAAACACAGTTAAACTTACCGTCCTAAAATATTCTGCTAAGTCATCTGGGTTCCACATAACCACGTCTGAACGGTAGGGAATGTTTCGTAAATCCATTGTAAGTTTTCTCCTCTTCAGAGGACGTTCATAGCAGTGCTATTGATGAAACAGCCATATATTCCCTGTGTGTGACCACCTCCAGCGTGTCCAGTAATTCCTTGCCTAATGCCCAGCTTCTTCTGTTTAAGTCCTGTTGTTTTTTTTAATTTAGAACTACGGTTGTTAGGACATCCAAGAGATACTGCTTCCTCTAATTCAAAATGGTCTCTTCTCAGAAAAGTTATCAGCTAGTCAGCCTTACCACTTCCTTTGTCTGAATATAAATAAGTAAACAAGGAAGCACAGCAAAGTGTTGAAAATGTTCTGCCTGCTACATACAAGTAAGCGCCTATGGACCCTATTTGCTTGTAATTGCATACATAAATACTTATGTATTTACACACTCCATACAGTATAAAAATATTGGCATATTATCTGCATAGACATTGGTTACTGCTTCTGTGCAAGTCTAGCCCAGGCAGGCCCCCCTCCAAAGATGAAAACTTTCACTTAAGAGAAACTTCTTCAACTTACCTCACTACCTGAAGTGTCACATTATCTTTCTTTGATTTGTATGACAATAAAAGGTTATTGTTGGAGTTGTACGTAAGGAAGCATGCATGAATTAGGGATGGAATTACAGTCAGCATTCCTTCAAATAAGGAATCTCTCAGTGAAACTAAAAAATGGACAAGCTTAGATGAAAAATTATTACATTGTCATTGTTTCAGTGCTCCATTTTTGAGCTACTTCTAATGAGGATTTTTGTGTCTGAAAAAGAATCCACAGAATCATGATATTACTACAGGGACATGATAGACTGCATCTGTCAGCATAACCAATTCAGGCACCATCCTATCAGTAGGTCCCTTTGGTGAGACTACATTTAGTAATTCCAAATGTGCTTGTTTTTTTAAAAAAGCCAGCATGTCCATTCTCCCTTTTCTTGATGCGGAGCTTCCTCCCAAAGTTGTGCTGGTATGAATGCTTGGGGTCACTGTTCACATCGGCTCCAGCAGACTGCACGAAAGGTGCTATTTTCTGCGCTTCCTGTATTAATAAGAATAGATGCATAGTTCTGAAACTCTGGAAAGTTTCTCTTCTTTCTAATGAAATGCATCACTCTCGCTATTTCTAGTCGTTGAAGACCTTCTAACCTTGCATCTGTAATTTGCAAGTGCATTGCATACGAGTGCATGTATTTGAGGTCATATCTACAAGTCTCTATAGTATTGTATATAAGAGTTTTCCTTTTGAAATTCACAGTCTGATTTAAAGTAGCTTACTTTTTCTGGAGAAATTTTGGTAAATGATGGCAGCATAGTATTTAAAACTCTAAAACTAAACTGCTGTAACAGCTGTTCTAAACAGTGTAGCATTTATCAGATACATGATATAGCTGTGTTTATGGGTTTTTATTTGAAATGACCTGTATGAATCCTGTGAGGCATGTACTGACAGTATCACAGCAATATCATCACCTCTTCATTGTAAATCTAGGTCTGAAGATGAAATAGGACTAAATTACCTCGTGACAAAGGATTCCCAAAGGAGAAGTTGTTTTGATGGTGCATTATCAGGAGTGGTAAAGGGGAGATTACACAGCTTACATCTCAGACACCCAATCACACACCAAGTCTTTCAACAGAGAAACAAGTTTCTTATGGTACAGAGACAGGAAGAAGTCTGTGCTATAATTTCTAATTGTTCGTTCTATTACAGTATTTCATTACCTTCTAATCTAATTTCTATCCCAAATCCAGTGTAGCAGCTCTAATTTCAATTGTGCTATTCCTTATTTGTACTAATATAAAACTAATTAGTCTGGTCAAAATTTATTCTGAGGATGTTATAGAAGAATCATAGCATAATTTATTCTGATGCTGATAGGAGAAAAGCAGTCACCTTTAAAGTCAATCTCCTAATCTAGAGAGCAACTAACACAGAAATTCTAACACATTTAGGTAATCATTATTATTTGCTTGGATCCTGTCTATGTCACTGGGAGTAATTGTAGCTACATGCAGATTTCATGCATTTAGCAAAACCCAGCTGCACACGTACTTGAGCTTTGTTTTTGTCTAGAACTTCTTTTGTAATGTGATAAACACCTAGGATGTGGTGGCCAAGTGAGGCTTGCTGAGGAAACATCACTTTGTATGTTCTACATTTGAATTTTCAGATATAATGCTAGAATAGTGCAACAATTTAAAATTGCATTTCCAACCTATGTATGTATTTGAACATATCAATGGAAAATGTTGTTCAACTCGCAAATAACCATGCATGAGTCATGGCCCCCAATCCGAACCTGACTGCAGAGAGTTGTTTTGAAAGATGCTTTTAAATGTCTGTCTTTGTGGCCCAGAAATGCAATGTGGCAAATCTTATATTCCACAAAAGGAAAATATTGATCCTGGTAAAAAGACCCCACATTATTTCCTCACTCTTTTAATTGTTCGTCTGATCACTCTTCCCATATTTTCCCACTTTCTCCCTCCAGAGTCACTGTTGTTACCTCCAGAATTAGCACTTTCTCCTAGGTGCTCTTGTTGCCTTCAGTGTCCTGTGCTCAGAGAGGCAATTTCAACACTGATGGTCACCAAGAAAGGAAATTGAGAGAGAAAAAGTTGAATGTCCACACTCGTGCAGGCCCACATGCCAGAATCTCTAGGCAGATTTGGGTAGGAGTGTAAGGGAGGATGTCTGGGAAGTAACCACATCTGATTTTTACAGAGGAAGAGAGAATGACTGCAGGGATAGCATTAGGATAGTTAAATGAACTGCAGCCAACAGACCGGAGCACAGAGAGTTCCTGGGGAAGAATGTCAAGTTTGACAGGCTACATGCAGAAATTAGGTTGATAACTAAATACATTTCAGAGGTAACAATCGTAACTGTCTGCTGCGAATTATCACATGCTTTGAATCTTAGTAGTTCAATCTTATATTGCAAGAAATGAAGACACAATAAGTAGGCAGCATAAGATACATCTGTTCTATAATATAATTTGTTATATGCTTCAGTTGGCAATCTTCCATGAAATGGATTTTAAGCTCTTAGATTTTCAGATGCTGAGAAACATTGACATTACAACTATTATCACGTGCATACCTTTTCCATTGTGACCTTTTTTCCCCTCTTTTTAAAGAATTAGATCTTTTATAGTTGATGCCTGCAGTGATACAACCTTCACATAAAAAATGTGTCTCTTCAAATAACAGCTGCCAATGGTACAGTTCTTTCAGATGTAGTGATGGTCTGGTGACTGATCTTTGAAAATGTGAGAGCCTAACCATTTCAGGCACCGCAGGAGGGAAATTCACACTGCCCACATTCTGCTGCCTTCAAAGAGCCTCAGTATTTTCCATTTTCTCTCACCTCTTTCTGGTGGTGTTCTGTGCTGCAGCACCCTGCTTTAAGTGGAGTTAAGGGCTTACTTTGAACAGCTTTCAGAATGGCTTATTTTTCTAGAATAACTTAGTTGACGTGTCCATTTTCCTAGAACAAAGCAAAAAAAGTTCAAACTTTATAAGAATTTAGTCTTCATGTTCATTTCAGTCCCAAAGTAAAGTGGATCTTTACAACATGTTTTTCTTTTGCCCTGCCCAATTTTGTTTTTAAAAGACTTGCGTACTTTCTTCCTTTTATCTTGGGAATATTTACCATTGCCAGCCTATATTTCCTCTTTTAACGTTGCATGCCTTATTCCCAAGCTGTATACCTATCTATAACACATGGAAAAAAAGCTTTCATTTTTACACCCTTTAAAAATCACCACGGTATTGTTATATATTCCTTGCTGTCTTTAATAATCACTGAGCCACACTTCGTACTCCTCAAATGTCCTTATCCATTATTTCCTTAATTCTTGTAGTCAAGCATTAACCTTGACTTTGCAATGTCAATGCATTAATACAAGATCCAAAACGGCGTCTTTGCCAACTTAAAAAAGTTCTTTTGCAGGAACGGAACTACGAGTCTTCCTCACCACCTTGTGGCTGAGTCACAGACCGACACCAGTCACGAACGACTGCTATTTTCAAGAGCAGGGATGGACACTGAATTGCTAACACTGTACAAATTTGATACTTGGTTTATATATACGGCATTTCAATTGGACTAGCAGTTGAGGTAGATGCTAACCAACCTGCATCTGAAATATATGGTTTGATTGCGTCTGAGACACTGGCTTCAAATCCAATTTCACAAAAAAAAAATTCTGCGTACTCTTTCTGACTCAGCCCTCAGCAATGATTTTCCTGGATGGAAAAAAAAGGTGCATACTTGAAGAAGCATATTTTCTATTGCTAGTGAATTGTGTTACTTTGAGTATGTGGAAATACGGAATTTCGGCAATTAAAATATCTGAAATCATAGAATACAGCCACTAGAGTGCAGCTGAACTCTATTCAGAAAACAGAGAGAATCCAATACCTATTAAGGTGCTGTAAAAAACCAGACAAGTAGTTAGAGATATTCTAGCAAGAGTACTGTTTTTTCAGGTACATGTTTTGTTCCATTCTGTTAGGGCCATAAGTGGCATAACGTGTCTAGTTTGTCCGGAGATGCTGCAAACAAATGCAGAGGAGAACACCTAGCAGACCTTAGAATGGATGTCTACTGAGGAAAGACTGAAAAAAATGTTTTGCTTAGTCTGGGAAAGGGAAGTTGGAGATGAGGGAAGGAAAAAGGAGACAAACTTAGTGACTTTGGGTCATAGCAATCCATTGTTCTTGTGACCTGTGAAAGGCTCTGCTAACAAGAAAATTAGATGCAAGCTTAAAAAGCAGGTATTGCAGATTGAAGAACTCTCCTGCCCAGTATTTCGACTGTTCAGTGCAATTCAACAGCTCGATTCATAAACTACCAAACAATGCCAGCTGTACTGTGGCTCAGAAGGAAACTAAGTGGGCCAAAAGGACAACTAGCAAGGATGTTCAGTTTTGGATATCATATTCCATTTTAGTACAGTGTCTTCCAGGTACAGAAGTCTAACAGCAACCATGCAGGTTTTG